AGTTAAAGGTTTGGCAATCCCAAAAGGTGTTGTAGGAAAAGTGGGAAGGTGATCGGGACAATACATTTCAAATGGGGTTTTACCTCGAGGATTAATTATTTTGTGATTCGATCAGTTAGTGTCTGTCTTATTGGCTAAGGAAATAACAGCGTCATAAAAGGTCGATTCTAATTTCAAAGGGTTGTAACAAACTCGATAAAAATTCTCGAATCGAGATATTTGAAGATAGTGGGAGTGTGTACCTTTCTTCGTCTTTGATTTGTCCTGCAACACAAGAGAAGGATGAGCAGTCAATTTTTGTCGGACTTCGTCAAAATCAGAATGATTACTCGAGAACCAATCGGCCCACCATTGAGAGAAACCCAGGGTTGATAAATAATTAGACTAAAAAACATAAGGATAAAAATGCATCAGGGTTTTTGGTAGCAATTTGGTGAGCTCCCGTCCAATTGTCGATTCACTTAACTTGGACTTTGGGGAGGTATCGAGGGAGAAAAAAGGTAAGGCTTGACTCAAACCAAACTGCCTCGAGAAAAGTTGGGGATAATAGGTGACAAGCTTAAGATCCTTTGAGTGAAATCCCGACACTAACACATCGTGAGTCAAATAACTGCTCCATACTTCAACCAATTCTGACTGTAGCCCCGGAGTAAGAGCAGGAAATCTCGATTTAAACCACGTTGGTCCTCGAAGTTGGTCACTTATTCGTCTGAGATTCACAGTGAAAGGAGCCAAAGTTGAGTCAAAATGAAACCTAGTTAACAAAAACTTAAGGTATCTACGATAAGTCGCTTCGTCGGGTTTGTGGCGAGGATGGCGAGAAGATAATCGAGCACCCTCTAAATCTACACTTGGGGGGATGTTGGAAGTTGGGGGAAGGATACTCTCAAAAATCGAATTCAGCCATAACTGGATAAACCAAATGGGGCCTGAAAAATTCCCCGAAGCTCTGGGGGTATTCAAAATCTCAACAGCCTCATCTAAAGCAGTATATACATGGGCTAATAAAAGTTTGGCTAAACAAATTCTAGGCTGGCTGGTGTGAAGGAGATAGGCAAGGTTATACAGGTGGGATGAAATTTTGATGGATCGGGGGCAGAAGACGTGAGTGCACAACCAGTATACCAAGAAAGCAACGTGCTCCTCATCAGAAACAGAAATTGTTGGATCATCGATAAAATGCTTCTCGAGAAAATGACCATAGGCTTTCGATTCCCAATCGATTTTTGACCTTACGGAATTATTCGAAGGAAAAGCACCCTTATAGTACTTCTCCCCTGTGGGCTTCAAACCAGTAATTGCAGCGACTTCAAAAAGGGTGGGCGAAAGGGGACCACAAGGGAGTTCTAACACATGCAGGTCCTTATTCCACAAATGTACAGCAGACAGAAACATAGTCATATCCAAAAATGACAAATCGCATCGAGATAAATGCAAAAAATCGGAAATCCCCACGTCTCTCCAATGGTTCCCAAACTTAGTCTTAACCCTATCAAACCACCTAATGTACAAGGGTTTTTTGGAGGGGGGGCCCGTTCGGTACACTTTAGATACAGCATTCAGAAAGTCTATCTGAACTTCAGATTGATGAATGGGAGCATGGCTCTTTGGAGAAAGATTGAGGGAAGAAAAAGTTCCGCCACAAGAACGAATAGGACCCCCAAAAGCATAAGTTATATTATCAGCAATATAAGGGATGAGTACCTGCGTCTCAGCAACTTTCTGAGAAGCTTCCTCCATTAGAGGAACCGGAGCAAATGTCTTGTTGTTGATCTCCAGCAGGTTAGAGGCCAACGAAGGAAGTGGTGGGGCTGAAAAATCAGAAGATTTGGAAGAGGTTGCCATTTTAGGAGAATAGAGGAAAACAGAGGATAGAAGGTGAGGGCGCAAGGTTGAGGACAAAGACGCAAGGTAGAAGATGAAGTTGCAAAAGAGGAGTAAAAGTTCGCGTAAAAAACCAGGGTAAAAGACCAACAAAGTGTTTAAAGGAAAACTATCTAGGGTACTGGAAACGACGGAGGCGAAGGGCAATTAATGTGGCGTGTACAGTAAGGCAGCAGACTGATGTGATGGTGACATAAAACCCCAAAAACCCCAAAAACCCTAAAACCCTAAAAAACCCCAGAAACCCTAAAACATAAGTTATTGTGGGCCTCCAACACGCGAAGGCGGGAATCATGTTGAAAGAATATAAACAGAAACTATTTATATTCTTCCAAGGGGGCATTTTGTTAGTGAGAAATCGATAAAGGGATCGAGAAACAAATGGGAGCAAAAAATCGAAAACCATTTTGATTGAGTTAAAGACTGATAAATCGAAAGATAGTTGGAAAATACGTTCGACGACCATGTGACAATATGATCGAGAATTAGAATCGAAAAATCGAAGGAAGAATGTTTTTGAGAAATTAAAATTTTGTAATGTTAAAGTTAAGGAAAACCAAGAGCAATTCAAAGTTCTCGAGATCAAGAGATCAAAATCAAGAGGAAGGCTAACCTGCATGGATATCGAAATCCCGGCTAGGTCATAAAGAGGGGAACAGTTAAACGCGCACATAGGAAACAGTTTCTAAACCGTAGCAGAGGTCGAAGATCAGGGGAACGTGGGTGCAGTTTTGATACCGAAGAAGAAACTGCAACATGCACGTAAGACGTGGTAGCAGTTTTCGTTAACTGCTCCTAAGAGGTTACTTGCTTAAAGGATGCCCTATAAATAGAGTGAAGAATGAAGGAAGGGGGGAAATTGGCAGAGAGAGCAGGAATACTAGTGAGAAGTCTACCGGAGAACGACGAACATCATGAAGTTTCTGGCGATCTGGATTTCCATGTTCATTGATTTCCTTTACCGTTTTCTTTATTTTCCCTAGTAATTTGCTTTGATGCAGTTTATGTTTAACAACTTTAAGTTTCTGTATTTTCGATTCCTTGTCATTTCTCTTTAATGAAAGTTAAGTTTCTGCGTTTAAATTCATTGTCATTTACATTAACGTAATTTCGATTTCCTGCCATTTACATTTCTGTAATCTCGATTTCCTGCTATTTACATTTCTGTAATTTCGATTTCCTATTATTTATATTTTCGCAATTTCAATGCTTTGTCGTTTACACTTAATGCAAATTTGAGGTTTCCGCATTTTTCATTCCTTCGCAGTTTTACATTCGGTATTGCTTTTCGATTCGTCACTTTACTGTTTTCCTTATTTCGAGTACTTCAAATATAAAATACCAAAAATAGTGTTTTCGATTATTTAATCTTAGTATTTTCTATACAGTGGTATTTTCGATTCTCATACGCATTTCGATTGAAATTCAGTTGCTAGCCTAAGTATAAAGAATCTACGTTGTTAAGTTTTGGTTAGAATCAAAGCCTAAATTAATCAAAATTCCACCGTAAACAATATTATACGCAACCTTATAATTTAGTATGTATATAATATCTTCTCATATTCTTTCCTATCAGATCTTATTATATTATTACCTCAGTACAATAGAAAAAAAAAAAAAATATATATATATATATATATATATATATATATATATATATATATATATATATATACACATATAAGTAAATCTGAATTTAAAATTAAATTAAAACGAATATTCTATTATACAAACTTTTACGACCTTATATTTCAATGTTTAATATTTCTTATCATATTAAATCACATTAAATTATTGCAACTAAATAATTTATTAGATATAATAGTCAATATATTAAGTTTTACCTATTGTCAATCATGTAATTGATTTATGATAAATAATAACCGATTTATAAAATAATATTCAATCTAGATGTTTGAAACCGCTCAAGAATCGGAAATATAAAAACATTTTCAAGTAAAAAAATAATATGGTTACTTCCAGTAGCGTTGATGTTTATGTGCATCTAACATGTAAATCTTCAACACATTTTTTCTGCCATCGATTGGAAATGCTTCATAAGAAATCCAGTATAATTTTGAGATCCCCCTTTAATGGATTAAAACAAGCTTCGAGAACTGCAGAACAACAAAGTTGGACACTTCTCAATCTTTGAGGTCCTACTGTTCTAGGTGTTCTAAGAAGCTTTACTCCCTGCTTCCAGTACTTCCTATCTGCAATCTTAAAATGGGAACAATAAGCTATTTCTCATAGTAATGTTTTTAGATCCTTTCATACATAAATTATAATTGTGCACAAATGTTATGGAAGGGTGGAGCTACAGAGGTTTCGTTCATATTAGAAAGGTAAGGGTGAGTGACCTGGACCAGTTGATATCACAATAGAATTGTGCAAATCCATCACCCAGTCAATCCATAACACAAATCCATGGCATACTCCCCTCTTTGTGAACTTAACCTGCAACAGCCGATTTTCAATATTCATTATGTAAAGTGATTTGCATTTGCAAATTACTATTCTATAAGATATATAGGCAGATATAATGAAAGTCAATTAATCGCCTACGTAATCTTCTGTTAATAACTGGTTAATAGATAGGTCAAGTTTTTCTTATGCACATGCTTCTCTGAAGCTAATAATAATTATTCAGTTAGTAAGCTACACCACCGATAAACTGTTCTGCAATTCCTATTTCAAAGGAAACTGTTGTTCAATATATTCAAATGCGTCCAAAACTTATACATGATATATCATAATACCTGTGATTTTCCTTGACATTCGCAAATTAGTTTTGAAAAATCAAACTCCATCACATCAAATGTCTCACTAAGCACCTGAAAGATTATTATACATAATACGACCAAATTGATATTAGTGCACTATTGTTATTTGATAAATGGAATTCAATGATGGAACCAGCTTATTGCAAAACAGGAATTGTAAATAGATTTATTACATCAAATTCTCCACACTGCCAGACAGAAAAAGGGAGACAAGGACCCTCTTCTTGTTCAGGAAGATGACCGCAAGCCCCCAATGTAGCATTGACCACCGAATGATCAAAATCTTCAATACTATTCAGGCAACAACGACTTTTCCAAAGATCCTGCAAATTGTATGTCCCATTAACCCATATCTATACGGCGGGTTCACTACCAACCGAAAAAGAATAGTTATGCTATCTTAATCCACTGAATAAATAAAAGAAAATTTCCTAAGCTACAAAAAATTCGAGCTTTGATTAAACTCCGATAACTTACAGGAAGAGAAATGGCACATGCTCTCAACATTCCTTTACTAGGAATTATCAGAGCATCTTCAGAGAGGATATGATTAAGTGTAGTACGTTCCCTCCTAAAATGAATAAAAGTAACTTCATAATGTTAAGTGCCAAATTAATATGTCATCGATCCGTTAAAATTGTTAATTTAAGCACAACTGATATGAAATAAAAACACAAATTGATCACTGCAAGTGTAACTAATAAAAATATACCAAAATCGCAGGTTCTGCCATGGAAGCATACTATCATGTCCAACATAGAAAGGTTCTGCTATTAACAGATCAACCTACAGATAAAAGAAAAAACATGGATATTTGACCTGATTCACAGAAGGGAGAAATGGCTTAACATTCAAGGAAAAGGAATAAATGCCGCACGTTCAACATAGATATTGTTTTCTACTGAATGCAGCATACGTTTAGACACAATACCTTCTTAAATTAATGTCGCATATACATCATAGATATTGTTTTCTAATGAATGCATCATACCTTTAGACACAATACATTCTTAGTATGTAATGAAGATATTTTATGAACAGAAAATATTAAAAAAATAAGAAAGGTATACTTGGTAGGGTGATTCCTCAAAAACCCTACAGTAATTCTCTCGGAGGAAGTATTCCACCAAGTCAAATATCAAGTACTCTGTACAACAACAAAAGCCTTATACCACTAAATAAGGATGATTACATATCACAAAATGCAATTGAACTCAGTCAAGGTAGTCAAAATTGAGATTATAAGTGGGATCACGAGGGGTTGGCAAAATCATAAATCATAGAATTGTAATACAAATTATAAATGCTCTCCTACATGAATGAGATATATACTCATATAATGATACAAGAAAATATCCGGTCACACTTTAAAATACTTAATGAAACTTAAGCTCATCATAAACCATAAGAAAGAAAGCATGTCAACAAAGTCTTATGAGTGATAAACAAAACATGTTATATACCAAATTATCAAATATGAACCAAGTACAAGATAAAGAACACCTAGATGACGAAAGCCTACTTAAAAAACATCTAATATAAATCTATTCGAAATATGATTTGATTACATCAAATAAGGAGATATGATTTAATAAGGAAATACTCATGTGTTTACACAACATATGAAATTCATTATATTCCTTCTTGGTTTCTTTGTTCTAAACAATTTCAAATGGAAACTCAAACTCAAGGTATCTTCAATAGACTCATCTCCTTCACCAAGCACATCAAAAACAACATCCTCCTCCTCTAGAGGTGGGAAGGCTAGAACATCATCATCTTGCCTTTCACCAAGGGCTTGACCTTCAACAAAGTGTACATCTCTATAAAATTGGGTTGGGTTGCATCGTGGGTCGGGCTGCATTGTGGGTCACAGGGATGCGTAGTGGGTCACAGGGCTGCGTTGCGGGTCAGGTCACAAGTTGGTCCATCCACATTTGAACTAATGGAAGAAAAAAACTGTTCAAATTCCTCTGAGAATATGTAACATTTCTTGAAGAAATAAATGGATGAATTGTTCAGATCACTCTCAGATAATTGGAACATTTGGGAATAGTGAAAAAAAAAAAAAGAAAATTGTGCTCACATAACATGTAACGTTTCGGAATAATAAAAAAAATAAAACAAAATTAATCAGTCTATTTATTTTATGTGTGCAGTGTGATCTGTTCATCAACTCTTCATCTTCATAAAAGTGGTACTGATTTTGGTTGATTCCCTTCTCCTCCAATCAATTCTAATTCATTTTCGTAATACGCTTAATTTTTGCGTACTACTATAATGTCTTCCACTGATGTTGGGATTTCTAATGCTCCCTCTAATGATGGCACTCCCTCCTCAGAGAATATTCGGCCTAAGAAAATGGCAAAAGAAGTTCCAGGCAGTAGAACAGACATGGCTTGGAGACATGGAATATGTGTTGATGGAAATCCAAGAAAAATTCAAAGCAAATTTTGTCAAAAAGATCATAATTGGCGGGGTTTATCGCCTGAAGCACCACTTGGCGGGAACTCAAAAGGACGTAGTTGCCTGCAAAGGTGTTACTGAAGAAGTCAAAAAAGAGATGCTTGAAATTGTTGTAGGTCTACAACAAAGATTAATTAAAAAAACAAGGCTTGATGAGGAAAATGATTTTGAAACTAAAAAAAGAAAGAAGACAGAAGAGGAAGACGTTGGCAGTGGTAGAAATATTTTCAAGAAGAGGGTAGTAAACTCACAAGCAACCATTAATCAAATGTTCAAGAAGGATCAAAGAGAAAATACGTGTAAAGATGTAGTTAAATTTTTCTATGAAAATGTCATACCATTGAAGGAAGAAATTAAGGCAACAAGCTTTGGAAGTTCACAAGGTTGCATGGAAGAAAACATGTTGCCCTATAATGATCGATGGATGGACTAACAAAAGGAGAAGGACTATCTTGAACCTTTTAGTAAAAGGTCCAAAAGGTACTATTTTTCTAAAATCTATTGATGCATCTCAAAAACAACTGATAAAATTTACAAGATGTTGGATGACATTGTTGAAGAAGTTGAGAGAACATTGTCCAAATCGTAACTGACAATGCTGCTAATTATAAAGCTACTGGTGAGTTGTTAATGAAGGAAAGGAAAAGACTCTACTAGACTCCATGTGTAGCACATTGCATTAACTTGATGCTCGAAGATTTTGAAAAGAAGATATTTGTTCATCAAGATACAATTTCAAAAGGTAGTACTCTAGGACGTCTCTAATTTCTATGATGCATCACTTTACAAATGGAAAAGATTTGTTAAGGTCGGGCTTAACTCATTTTGCCACCTCTTACTTAACATTAGGGTGTTTCTTAGAGCATAAGTTCCCTTTGATTGGAATGTTTACTGGTTTTGGAAGTTCAATTGAGGATGTAATTTTGGATAAAGAATTTTGGAAGACTATAGTCATATGTTTGAAAGGTGCATTTCCTATAATGCAAGACCTTAGAATGGTAGATTCTTATGAGAAACCAACCGTGGGTTTCATCTACGAGGCAATGGACCAAACCAAAGAAAAAATACAAAAAAAAGTTTAATGGTGATAAGACTTGATATTCAAAAACAGAGAAAATGTGTTTTTAGAGGGCTTGAAGAACCCCTCTCATAGTTCTCTATTTATATAGATAAAAACTGGTACAATAGGGAGATTACATTAAATGCACTGTCCTAGATTACTCATTAGAACTAGGTGCAGAGATTATCTCACACTCAACCTCCTACCTTAGGTATAATGATTACATATATTTTCTAATCTTATTCCAACACTCCCCCTCAAGCTGGAGCATACAAGTTGTATGTACCAAGCTTGGAACAAATGAACTCAATCCGAGATCCCCTTAAGGACTTGGTAAACACATCTGCGAGTTGGTCATTTGATCCAACAAACTCGGTACATATTTCTTTTGTCAACAACTTTTCACGAACAAAGTGACAATCAATTTCTATATGTTTAGTTCTCTCGTGAAATATGGGATTTGATGCAATGTGGAGAGCAGCTTGATTATCACAATACATCTTCATAGTCTGGATATCACAGAAGTTAAGCTCTTGAATGAACTGCTTCACCCATATAAGTTCACAAGTTAGTGACGTCATTGCCCTATATTCGGCTTCAACTATCGATCGAGCCACTACATTCTGTTTCTTACTTTTCCATGAAATAATGTTTCCTCCAAGGAAGACACAATATCCAAGTGGTAGACCGTCTATCAACAGGTGAACCCGCCCAATCTGCATCACAAGCACTCAATGACTCGAATGCTTCATTTATCTTCATATAACAATCCTTGTCCGGGAGCCTTTTTAAGGTACCTTAGAATGCGAATGATAGCATTCCAATGACCAGCACATGGAGCCTGCATGAATTTACTAACCACTCCAACAGCAAAAGATAGATCAGGCCTTGTAATAGTGAGATAAATCAGTTTTCCGACCAGCCTCCTATATCTCTCTGGATCAGAGAATACTTCACCTTCTTCTGTTGTCAATTTCTTATTTGGGTCCATAGGACTCTCTACAGGTCTACAGTCAATCATACATGTTTCTTGTAATATATCAAGAGCATATTTTCTCTGAGAGATTACAATTCCATCTTTTGATTGAGTTACTTCAATGCCCAAGAAGTATTTTAGGCTTCCCAAATCCTTGGTTTGAAAATGTTTGCACAAGTACTCCTTCAGTTGAGATATTCCAACAGTATCATTTCCTGTAATGACTATATCATCATCATATACTATTAAGTAAACACATTTACCCAAAGATGTATGACAATAAAAGACTGAATGATTTGCTTCACTGCGTCTTAGCCCAAATTTTTGAATAATGGAGCTAAATTTTCCAAACCAAGCATGTGGTGATTGCTTGAGGCCATATAGAGAACAATGCAATTTGCATACCAGTTCAGACTCCCCCTGAGCAACAAACCCAGGAGGTTGCTCCATGTAAATTTCGTCCTCAAGATCACCATGTAGGAAGGCATTTTTGATATCTAATTGATGAAGTGGCTAGTGACGAATGGCAACCATTGCGAAGAACAGACGAATAGTGGTCATCTTGGCCACGGGAGAGAAAGTGTCACAATAATCAAGGCCATAAACCTGAGTGTACCCTTTTGCAACTAACCGAGCCTTGAGTCGATCAACTGCACCATCAGGGCCGATTTTAATAGCATATACCCAGCGGCAACCAACTACCTTTTTGCCCGGTGGAAGGGGCACGAGCTCCCAAGTAGCATTATGGTCAAGAGCCTGCATTTCTGCAATCATGGCTTGTCACCATCCAGGGTGATCAAGTGCTTCTTCCATATTTCTTGGAATAGCAATAGAAGATACTGAGGATAAAAGGGAACAATAGGAAGGCGACAACTTGTGATAGCTAAGAAAATTATAAATAGGATGTGGGTTTCGAGTGGAACGAGTACCTTTTCTGAGAGCAATGGGTCATCCTGAATCACCTCCACCAGGAGTCATGGTAGGAAGCGATGTTGGAGAAGAATCTAAAGTGGGGGATTCACCCTCGTCTTGGAGAACAGGACTAGCTATCGAGGTCCTATGATTGACAACATCAATTTGAGGGGAGGATGGTTCAGGAAGACTTGGATCACTACTGAGATCGATAGAGACATTGGAAATATTAGACTCAACTACCGGAATGGGAAGAACCTCGCTATATGACATGAACATCTTGAACAGAAGGAGAAAAGTAAGGAGTCTCGTTCAAAAATGTAACATTGGTAGACACGTAGTACTTCTTGGTTTCGTGGAGAGTAACACCGATACCCTTTTTGAAGGCGGAATAGCCCAAGAAGACACATTTGATAGCACGAAGCGTAAAGTTTGTCTAACCCCGGAGACATATCATGAACAAAACATACACAACCAAAAACTCGAGGAGAGGTGTGAAAGAGAGGATTATTTGGAAATAGAATAGAGAAAGGGATCTTATTACCGAGAGAGGAAGATGGCATCCTGTTAATAAGAAAACATGCAGCTAAGATGGCATCCCCGCTGATGGACAGGAATATGAACACTCAAAGAAAAGAGTACGTGCAGCTTCAACCAAATGTCTATTTTTTCTTTCTGCTATACCATTTTGTTATGGTGTATGAGGACAGGTGGACTGATGCAATATTACATGTGAACTCAACAGCAGAAAAGGTGGATGAGAAGTACTCTTTAGCATTGTCACTTTTTAAAATTTTGATTACTTGATTGAATTGATTGTTGATTTCATTCAAAAAGGATGTAAAGATGGGTAACAATTTAGAGCGATCTTTTATAAGATAAACCCAAGTACATTGTGAATATTCATCAATAAATGTAACAAAATACCGAAAACCAAAAGATGAGATGCGACTGGGTCCCCAAATATCACAATGGATAATAAAGAAACTGGAAGTACACTTTGATTGAGACCTTTTAGGAAAGGTAGATCTAATATGTTTCCCTAGTTGACATGACTCACATTCTAAGGTTTGGAGACCACTAAGTTCAGGACACATTCTTTTTAATTTTGACAAATGAGGATGGTCAGGCCGATCATGTAACATTTTAGGGCTCGGAGTAGCAACACAGGACACACGTGGACGAGGGCCAAAAAGGTATAATCCTCCAGCTTCATATTCTTCTCCAATCCGTCTCCACGAACCACGCTCCTGTATAACAAAATATTTGTTATCGAAGGTTATTGAATAATTTAAGGTTTTGGTTAACTGACTTAAGGAAATTAAATTGAAAGGACAATTAGGAATAAAAAGGACAGATTTTAGGCTTATGGAGAGAGATAAGGAAACTTGGCCCACTCCCTTTGAGGAAGCTTTAGAGCCATCTGCAAGGGTTATGAAATGTTGTTTTT